CAAAGATGATCCCATCGATTCGGCCGTGCTCCGTGCCTACGCGAAGATGAAAGGTGCCTCAAACGTGGATGCAGCAGTTGAGAAGCGCCAGAAGGAGTTCACCCTCGACAAGGATGGTTTCATGGGCTTCAATCCTATCGTGAAGCGAACGTGCGCTGCAGTCACCGCCTCGGATGGCACCAAGTGGTTCTGTGCCAAGGGCATGGTCGATGTCATCCTGAAGACGAATGCCGACGACGAGGGAAAGCAGTGGACTGTGGAGAACTACGAGACCATGTCAAAGGAGGCCCACAAGGCGGATGCTGACCTGGGCGTCTCCGGGTTCAAGACCTTGGGTGTCGCAGTTTCCAAGAATGGCGGCCCCATGCAGTTTGCCGGCATCCTGCCCATCATGGACCCCCCCAGGCATGACACGAAGGAGACCATTCGCAAGATCAAGGAGTCTCAGGTTGCCGTGAAGATGATCACGGGCGACCACCACAACATCGGCAAGGAGCTTGCCAGGCAGATCGACCTGGGAACCGACATCCGAACCCCGGACTGCCTCCAGCCGCCGGGTGATGCTCGCGACCTGATTGTGCTCCAGGCCGATGGCTTTGCGAAGGTCAAGCCTCTGGATACTTACTTCTCCAAGAGCTGTGCTTTGTAAACTTTTTGGGCTTCCTTGTTTAGTAGGAAGAATAAAGCTTATAACTTTTTTCTCCCTTGGCTTACTGGAGAAGTAAGGACAAGCACGAGGTTGTGTCCGTGCTCCAGGACAAGGGCCTGGTGGTTGGCATGACAGGGGATGGCGTCAATGATGCCCCGGCCTTGGCGAAGGCGCAGATTGGCATTGCTGTGCATGGCGCCACCGACGCCGCGAAGTCTGCCGGCGACATCGTGCTGACGCGAGATGGCCTCTCACCCATCTACACAGCCATCCAGATCTCGCGGCGCATCTTCAAGAGGTTGAAGTCCTACGTGATCTACCGCATCTGCATCACGGTGCAGGTCGTCTTCTTCCTGGCCGCCCTGGCCATCTTCTACAACCTCCGCTTCAAGGCCCTCTACATCATCCTGCTCGCGCTGTTCCACGACCTGCAGATCGTCACCATTGCCTACGACCACCAGATCGCTGGCCTGAAGCCCGAGACTCCCACCGTCTTGGGCCTGCTTCTGCAGAGCTACTCCATGGGCATGCTGATGTTTGCTCAGACCATGCTGCTCGTCTCCTGTGGCCACCTCTTCCTCTCGGACAAGTATGCAGATGGCTACTTCGCAAGTGTCGGTGCCACTTCGGCGGGTACTGAGATGGACAAGTACATGGAGACGACCATCTTCCTTCAGATCTCCAACTCATCAGCCATCCTCATCTTCTCGGCGCGCACAGTCAGCTTCTTCTTCACAAGCATGCCGGCCTGGCAGCTGACCTTCTCGACAGCCCTGGGGCAGGTCCTGATCAACATTTGGTGCCTCTGGGCCCCCTCCGGCCTGGTGGACAAGCTTGAACCCATGGATGTGGCAATGGTGTGGCTCTACGACATCGCCTGGCTCCTCTTCCTGGATGTGGTGAAGATGTTCGCCGGCCGCCTCTGGGACACTTGGGTGGCCCAGTGGTGCCCCTTTTCACCCCCTTTTTTCGTTCTTGACTTCTGGGGTTCCCTGATAAAGTAGCCAACCCCCCAAAAAAGGGTGCCCTTTCGTGGTAGTAGGCGTTCTGGGTTCCCTTATATAAAAGTAGCCAACCCCTGCGAAAGGGTGCCCTGATTGTAATATGGTTGCCCTGATTGTAATATGGACCCCTAAACCCTAAACCCTAAACCCTAAACCCTAAACCCTAAACCCTAAACCCTAAACCCTAAGCCCTTATTGTGGTGCGGTTCCTGGGCTACCAAGGACAAGTACAAGCCCGCCTCCATCGATCGGAACCCTGCCTTGGCGGCCAAGGACCGCAACAGCCGGCGCCTCTCAAACAACCTGCGCCCCTCGCACCTGGGTCATTGTTGGAAGTCTTTTTTGGGGTTTAGGGTTTAGGGTTTAGGGTTTAGGGTTATGACTTAAACCGTTAAACCCAATAAGGAACCAACAAAAAATCTGGTCATTTTATTAAAGGCAGGAACCCCCCAGCCATGGGGTAGGGTTATTACTTAAACTTAAAGCCAACAAGGAACCCAATAGAAAATCATTTTTAAAGTAGTACCCCCCAGCAATTGCTGTGCAGGTACATGCTGGCACAGGTGGGCGACCACCACGGGGTCGACGACAAGCTGAGCCAGCTCCCGCCGGGGCAGAGGAACTCCGTCCGCTTGTCGAGGACCTTCAAGAAGTGACCATTGTGTCTGGGTTTAGGGTTTAGGGTTTAGGGTTTAGGGTTTAGGGTTTAGGGTTTAGGGTTTAGGGTGTAGTAGAGTAGGTAACCTTTATAACCTTTCTGGGGTAGTATCATTCCCTTATGAATCCCAAAGGTTAACCAAGAATTCCCCCCAGGTTAGCTGGACAGCTAAGGTGAGTGCTCGACAAGGCACAGCGGCTTCGCCCATCGAGCCGAAGAGAGGGCAGCCGAACAAAGATACTTTTTTTGAGGGGCTTCGTTCCTTTGGCCATGGTTGGGTAGCATTTTTACCTTTTTAAGGGTACTTAAAACCCAATAAGGAATAGCAAGAATTGAATGTTTAATAATATCACCCCAACAATGACCGAGGTTCCGGGACCCGACTTGAGGATGGCCAACCGCATTTGTGTACATATCGGGCGGCTAAACCGTCAGCTGGGTTCCCCGATTGGTTCATTGTTTCTTAAGACTTGCCCAGACCCTGTCCAGACCATTTGAAACCACTTCAGAAAACATGTCAGCCGCCGAGGGTTTAGAATGAGATGGCGATGACTGAGTGGCAACTTCACCGAGTCTTCAGGCCATTTCCATGATTGTATCCGGAACCCCAAAGCTTTGCAGCAGCCGAAGTCCCAAAACCCCCCTAAACCCTAAACCCTAAGCCCTAAGCCCTAAGCCCTAAGCCCTAAACCCTAAACCCTAAACATCCCTAAACCCTGAACCCTAAACCCTAAACCCTAAACCCTGCTCGCAGGAGGTGGTCATCGCCATGCCTCCACAGGAGGCGGCCGACTTCCGGGGCGCTTTGCTAAGCGGCGGCGTGAGCGAGGCCTCGTGCTTAAGGTTTAGGGTTTGGGGTTTAGGGTTTAGGGTTTAGGGTTTAGGGGCAAGGAGTCCAGCTGCAAAAGGGTTTAGGGTTTAGGGTTTACACACGAAGTTTGGGGCTTGGGGGGGAAATCAGAGGCCCTAAGCTGCCTAACTTATGACCTAACTTGTCCGAAAAAGCCCCTACAAGCCCCGAGAAGCTGCGAAAGCCCTAAAGTTCCCAGAAAGCCCCCAAAAACCCTAAACCCTATACCCCCGAGACACAACCCTAAAGCTCTAGACCCGAAACCCTCAACCCTAAACCCCAATGCAGGTCTGGGCGGCTCTTGGCGCAGTGAAGGTGCAGCAGGCAGGGGCTCGAATTTGAGGGAGGGGAAAAAAGGCTCAGGTTTTCGGTGCGATAGATAGTGTAGCAAGGGTTTAGGATTTAGGGTTTCTCCGGAGTTTTGGGCGTGAAGGTTTTGGGCGGATGCCTTTGGTGGCCTCCTTGGGAGTTTGTTTGGTCGTTGTTGGGTTCATGTCGTGGCGATTTGAACCAGGGATGTTCCCCCTTATGCTAGCAGTCCTTAATGGGACTGTTAGTATCAGGGGGGACATCCCAAATTTGAGCTTACTTATTTTGCCGTGAAGACATACGACTTCCATATATTCCTGGTTTAGGTGTTCAGGGCTCGGATGCAGATTTTCACATCGCTCCTCCGCTCAATTAAGCTCTTTATGCCGAAGAAGTTCACCTCTGTTGTGACATGGTAACGCGAATGCTGGGCTATGCTCACTGTAGCACAGACTACGCAAAGCGTCAAAGTCAAATGTTTGTTTGTTTGTTGGTTTGTTTGTTTGTTTGTTTACACCCATACAGTCCCATACATGTACATATTATATGTAAGACCCAAATTAAGGGGCCATAGCTTAATCCGTAGAACCCCACGAGGATACAGAAGCAGTAGGGCGATGAGTCAATGCGAGGAGTTACTTTGGGTAATTACTCATATTCTCCTGGGGACCCTGATGTACGGTTTCGAAAATCTAGTGTCTTCGTGCTGTTATCCGTTGCTGTGCTTGCTTTTTGCACCCGAGGCCTCGCATAGGCTTTCTGTTTGCAGCACGGAGCAGTCCTATACCCAGGACATCGTTTCTGCCTAACGCATGATGCTTGGCATCGTTTGACACCCCGCCCCATGCACACGTCACCTTTTAAATGTCCAGGGCGCTGTTTCGAAGCAAGGCCCCTCGCGCGCGCACTTTCATAGTAGGCCTCCGCATGAAGCAGTATTGTGGCATGTAAGGGTTGAAGTGAAGGTTTTAGGGCTTCGGGCTGAGGGTTTCAGGGTTTCGGGTCAAAGGGTCTAAGGCTACCAACGCAGTTCGCCGCAGGCCGAGGCATCTGTCCCCGAGGCCAGGCGTTGGATTGGGGAGGGGTCAACCCCCCAAAACCCTAAGCCCGAAAACCCTACCCGAAACCCGAAACCCGAAAAATCCTCAACCGTCCGGATGGGGGCACCCGAGTGAGAGTGCTGCTGCAAGCCCGAACCCTAAACCCCCCAAAGCCCTCGACTTCGGTTGGCAAAACGCGCCCGAAACCCTACACCCCAACCCTAAACCCTAAACCCCTACACCCCAAACCCTAAACCATGGATCCAGCCTTTCAGGGTTGTTCGAGCCGTCAGTGGTCGCATGTGAAGCCTTTTTACGCCCTAAGCGACTGGGGCTGGTCCTTGAGCCAGAAGTATGCCGAGAGGGTTAGGAGTTTTTCGGGTTTAGGGTTTCGGGAACAACGGGATGCAACGAAGTGATACGAAGTGCATGTTAGCCGGCATTCTGGCTTGCAGCCTTGCATCGGAGGCACTCTGTAGGAGGCGCTGAGATGCTGGCCAGGGTCCAAGACTTCATCTATGGCGGCGCGAATCAGTCTGAGAAGGAGAGGGCCAGGTGCTCCTGCACCACGGATGCTCGAATGCTCCTCATCGCCTTCCTTACCTACATGTCCTATGTCATGTATCACGCCCAGCGAATTGCGTTTGCGGGGGTGGCGTCCTCAATGACAGATGAGGCTGGGTTTACGGCGACAAAGCTGGGCGTGATGTCGACCGGCTATTTGTTCGCATATGCCATTGGCCAGTTCGCGTGTGGCCGCTTTGCTGACTACGTACGTCCGAAGAGGGCCCTGGTTTGGGGCATGTTCTGCTGTGCACTGCTGCCGGTCATCGAGGGGTTCATGGGTGCGAGCGGCTGTGGCGGAGAAGGAGGATGCTATTTCACGTGGGTTTTCGTTCGGATCCTCGAGGGCTTTGCTCAAGCCACAGGTTGGACCTCAACAGTGGCCATCATGGGAAGCTGGTTCCCTCAAGACGGCCGAGGTCTCATCATGGGGCTTTGGGCCACAAACTGCAACGTTGGTGATATCTTCGGCCTGCATGTGACGTCGGCGCTTCTAGACCACGCTGAGTGGTACGCGATCTTGTGGGTCATGGCAAGCTGCACGGCCTTTTGGGCCATAGTCAACATGGTCTTCCTGCGTAGTGCCCCACCACCTTTTTCGCTACACTGGCAGCATGAAGAGGCCCTTCCTCAGGCGGCGGTGGACCAAGAAGTGGCCGGAGATTCTGCAAGCCTTGGCCAGATCCTTTGTATTCCCGGCCTGCTGCAGTACTCCTTCAGCTACATGTTCCTCAAGCTCGTGAATTACGCCCTCTTCTTGTGGCTGCCCTTCTATCTCAGTAAGGGAATTGGTGTCGACAAATCTTTAGCCAGCTTGATGTCCGCTAGGTTCGACGTGGGGTTCATTGTCGGCGCCATTCTTGCTGGGCTGGCCAGTGACATCACAAGCCGCTACGCAGGAATGCCAATGAGAAGCCCCATCGTGAGCAGCTTTCTGCTGATCTCGCTTCTACCTATGGGCGTCCTGCGTTTCTCGGACGACCCAGGTGTTATCAAGTGGGCCATCTTCTTTTGTGGCATCCTGCAGGGGGGACCCGCGGATTCCTTGACCTCAGCCGTGTCCGTGGACTTGGGCAAGCATCCGAGCCTTGAGGGAAAGCGGGCCACCTCCACAGTGACCGGGGTCATCAATGGCACTGGGGCAGTGGGCGCTGCCGTTGGGCAGTACGTGGTGGGCATGCTCAGCGATCGCTTGGGATGGAAGTCTGTCTTCATCTTCTTGCTTGTGTGCCTGGCGTCCGCTTTTGCGCTTTCCTTGTTTCGCCTGTGCAAGGAATTGGCCGATGTTCGCGCAGCGAAGGGGAGTTTCGACTCTGCTTCCTACGAGTCCTCTGAGGACAGCGAGTCCGTTGAACAGCACAACTAATCCGCCCCCGCTAGTTGCCAACGCTCATTCTTTTTCAGTGTCATATATGATCATATGATCCCTACACCCTCCGCCCCTAAGTCCTGAATCCGAAGAGGCAGTCTCAGTAATTCGGGAAGGGCTCAAACGAAGCAAGAAACAGTACCCAAGTTTGTCTCTGGTACATGTACCAGGTACCATGTGGGCATACTTTTGAAAATTCCACCTCTCTTCCTACTTGTTGAACCCTGGTGGTACTTTTTTGGGTGGTTGAACGGCATGCTAATTCTAAGACTACGTAAGGCCTTTAGACTACATGTTTTGCAGGACGGAATGAGGCCTCTCGCAAGTCTTTTAAGTTCGCGACAAGCCTGCGTATTGTCCCGTAGTGTCGGATTCTCCGGTGAAAAGCTGGTACAGTGCCGATTTTGGGAGGGTGCGGGTTGCCTTGTTGCTAACGTCGCGAGACCTTAAACCCTCCAGGCAAGCCAAGCAGGCTACACATGCTGAGCAGGCTTTGCCTACGGCCGTTGGAGGCCTCAGGGTTATCTCGTGCCTCTGCGGGAGCGACCCCTGTGCACGAAGCAAAAGAACCGGAGCAGGGCCTGGAATCAAGGACGGGAGCCAGCACCCCCAGTGGTGCCCTGTCGTCTGACATCGAGATCTTCTATGGGCCCCCCCGGAACCACGCCAGGAATCGAACCACAGCCCCGAAAGCCCAAGCCAGGGAGTCCGCCCTACATAGGGTTTAGGGTTTACGGTTTAGGGTTCAATTTAGGGTTTGGGGTTGCAGCTTACCTGAAGGTCCTAGCTTAGAAGCAACCGGCAATAGGGTTCGCCCTACTTGTGGCTTCACTTCTAACCCTCATGACCCTCATGACTCAGCCATATGTTTGAATAATTATAAAAACACTATTTTCATCCACCATGTCGCCATTTGCAGCCTCCCTTCTGCGTGGCTTAGGGCTTAGGGCTTAGGGCTTCGGGTTTAGGGTTAGGGTTTACGACCCTAAACACCAAGCCCGACAATCCCGGAAAGTGCCCCAGCCCTAACACAAAATCCTACTCACCCCAACACCCCAATCCCGAAAGCTCTGAAGCCCCAAGGCCGTACAAGCTCCCACCATCTGGAGGCCTACAAAAGCCCCAACGCCTGCTCCAAACCCAAAACCCCAAACCCTAACCCTAAACCCCAACCCTAAAACCCCAAACCCTAACCTTAAACCCTAGCATGGCTAGACGGGTGGCAAAAAAACCTAAACCCTAACCCCAAACCCGAAACCCTAAACCCTAAACCCTAAACCCTAAACCCTAAACCCCGCGAAGAGGATCGGGAGCGGATCCTCACCCTCATCAAAGAGGGCCCGGGCTTCCATCACCTCAACTGCCTGCTGGCCAACAGTTACTTCGTAGTAGGCGTTTAGGGTTTAGGGTTTAGGGTTTAGGGTTTAGGGTTTAGGGTTTAGGGTTTAGGGATTCAGCAAGCCCCGTGTTCAAAGGGTTTGGGGTTTAGGGTTTAGGGTTTAGGGTTTAGGGGTAACCTTGAACTTTCTTGGGGAGGTTGTAATCCCTATATCATCCCAAAGCTTAGCGTGTGGTTCCCCTAGGATACTGGACAGCTAAGACTTAGCTAAGACAGTTAAAACGTGGTTTTAGAAGGTGCTCTTGAATATTCGGTTGCACGAGCAACCCTAAAGATGAACAGCAGCAGAGCTTCTTCAACACCAATATTCCTGTCCTGTAGGGTTTAGGGTTTAGGGTTGAGGGTTTAGGACTTAGGGTTTAGGGTTTAGGGTTTACAGTTGCAAAAAAGGGTTTAGGGTTTTGGGTTATCGAATGTCATCTGTCTGACAAAAAATCCACTCAACACCCTTCCACGTGATAGGGAAGGGGAGTCCCAAAGCGTTCGTGATGCCCTACTTGGAGGTTCATGGTACTTAATCACCCAAATATAACTGTACTTATAACCCAATTATAACCAGGTTATGGCACTTACAGGGCTTATAAGTGGGTTATAAGTACCCCAAACCCTAACCCTAAACCCTAAACCCTGGTATGGTTATTATTGCTTAATAAGTACAGTTGTAGTTGGGTTGGAAGTACCAAGAACCTCTAAGTAGTGCTGTCGACGGCTTTGCATACAGTCGAGAGGTGTCAGGCTTTCGTTGTCCGACTTGTTGCACGAAGTCTAGGGTTTTGGGTTTTAGGATTTAACTAGGGTTTAGGGTTTAGGGTTTATCTTGCAAACCACTCCTCGCCCACCCAAGCCCAAGCCTCCACGACCTTGGCTTGGCACAAGCAAAAAAACCGAAGACCTGTCTGAACCCTAAACCCTCAACTCATCTGACCCCTGCAGCCGTCGTGTCTCCGACATTTTATCCGGCGCCCTAAACCCTAAGCCCTAAACCCTAAACCCTCAATCCCTAAACCCTAAACCCTAAACCCTAAACCCTAATACCCCCCCCCCTCCCCCCTATGGGAAACTCCCGCAGTTCCTTCGGGGGGCGCCCCGAGGCAAGGTGGCTGAGCGGCTCCAGGGCAGCCACCTCAGGGTTCGGGGTTCGAGGTTTAGGGTTTAGGGTTTTGGGTTTTGGGTTTAGGGTTAGGGTGAGGGTTCAGGGTTCAGGGGTTCAGGGGTTCAGGGGTTCAGGGTTCAGGGTTTAGGGTTCAGGGGTTTAGGGTTCAGGGTTTAGGGTTTAGGGTTTAGGGTTTTAGGGTTTTAGGGGTTTAGGGGTTTAGGGGTTTAGGGGTTTAGGGGTTTAGGGGTTTAGGGGTTTAGGGGTTTAGGGGTTTAGGGGTTTAGGGGTTTAGGGGTTTAGGGGTTTAGGGGTTTAGGCTTTAGGGTTTAGGGTTCTAAGGTTCAGGGTGTAGGTGTAGGGTTCAGGGTTGTGGGGGTACCCCAAAAAGAGGCCCGGTTTACAGAATCCTCCAAGTGAAGTTGGAACAATGGGCACTGTCTCGGGCCTTTGAAGAAACACAAAAAGAACAGCAAGCCATACACTAAAAGAGATTTGAGGGGGGTTGTTCTCCCCCGCCTACCTATCTCAGTAGTCGGCCCCATGTACCTACAATTCTCCCTGCCCTAAAACCCTAACCCACAAACCACAAAGCCTTATGTAAGGGTAGCCGAGAGTCTGGTTTAGGATTTAAGGTTTAGGGTTTAGGGTTTAGGGTTTAGGGTGTACGGTACGGTGAGAGGGGGTTTAGGAAGGCTTCGTTGGGGCGTTGGGGCTTGGGTCGGGGATTGCGTGTTTTGTTCGGGTGTTTCATTGTTTCGGGCAGTGGGTGAGGCCTTGGGGTTCAGTTTGCAACTCACGCCCGCACACAGGCTTTGCTGCTGCTGAAATTTTAGGGACTTACGGGCAAGGGGAAGGACTCGGGTTTTTCAGAGCTTTGCTCATATTCCCTGAGTCACCTTAAAGAGACGACTCATCTTGCAGCTGCTTGTTTAAGGCTTTGACCTGAGCCCTAAACCCACCCTGGACCCCAGACACCCGCAGCCCTGCACTCTGGGGTTTAGGGCGAAGCCCTCAAGCCCAAACACCCAAAACGGCCCAAAACTCCCACGCATCCCATCATCTGCATCATGGCATACCGGAACAAGCGCCCGCGATTGAAATGGATGCCGCGGGCGCAGGCGGCAGGGGCTGGTGGTTTAGTTTGGGCCTTCTTAGACTTGAGCAGCAGATTTTGGTTCTACACTGTTTAGGCCTTTGTAGACTTGAGTAGCAGATTTTTGGTTCTACACTGTTGTGTCTGGGGGGGGGTTGGGTCCGCAAGGGCCGTGTAGTATAAGAGTACCCCAAGCTGAGTTGGGCCACCCCAGCAAGGCAGAGCCACATCGGAGGCCCTCAAGCCCTAAACCTAAACCCTAAACCCTAAACCCTAAACCCGAAACCCGAAACCCTAAACCCTAAACCCTAAACCCTAAACCCTAAGCCCAATCGCTACAGCACGGCCCCGTTCCTTCAGCTGCATTCCGAGCAGGGGGCCGCCGCCACGCCCGCGGCAGCGAGCCGCGCAAGCGTTGGCCCAACGAGCTTCTCGAACTCAAGAGTTTAGGTTGGGATGTTCCCCGCTATCCTAACAGTCCTTAAATGGGATGAGATTACCCCCCCCCCCCCCCCCCCCCCCAATTATACTTTGTATTAGTAACATCCCAAAGTTTCGGGCTTAAGAGGGCTGTAAGCCCCGAGCTAAACCAAAAGCCCGAAAACCCTTGCCCCTCAACATTCCTGAGCCCTTTAAGACTTTAGACATACTTTAGACAACCCTGACGCCAAGAAGAGGTCGAGGTTTGAGTGGGCGTGGGCGGGGAGGGGGGGAATGTCAAGGGTATGGCTTGGCTTGGGCCTCTTTGGCCGAGTGGGGCTTCGTTGGGTGGGATGATGTGAGGATGTCAAGGCGCGGCCGTGAGCCGTTTTTTTTTTTTTTTTTTTTGTTTTTGGTTTTGTTTTTTTTTGAGTTCTTGCCCGGTTCTTACTTTGTTGCTTGCGATGAAAACGTGGTAGCTGTTTTTTTTTGAGTTCTTGCCCGGTTCTTACTTTGTTTCTTGCGATGAAAACGTGGTAGCATATCGCAATCAGCCAAGGGGCTAAAGCCCCAAACCCGACCCTCTCAACCCTAAAGCCCCAAAACCCGAAACCCTAAACCCTAAATCTAGGACTTCTTCTTGGAACACTTGGCAAAAAAAACTTAAGACCCTAAGCCCTAAAATCCTAAACCCTAAAGACCTAAAACCCTAAGCCCTAAGACCTAACCCTAAAACCCTAATCGCCTAAACCCTAAAGCCCTAAACACTAAGACCCTAAGACCCTAAACCCTAAGACCTTAAAACCCTAAGCCCTACAGCCCTAACCCTAAAACCCTAGGACCCTAGGACCCTAGGACCCTAGGACCCTAAGACCCTAAGACCCTAAGACCCTAAGACCCTAAGCCCCTAAGACCCTAAGACCCTAAGACCCTAAGACCCTCAGACCCTAAGACCCTAAGACCCTAAGACCCTAAGACCCTAAGACCCT